ATGTGGATGAACAAATATTTAGCGCTGGTAGCAGCAGCAATGATGGATGTCAAAGAATGGAACATTGAACCAAAAACAAAACAACTGTCTGGAGGTAGTTTGTGAACAAAGGAAAAATGGAACCAGAACCTTGGGGGGTGGCAGGAGCAGGAGGGTTGGGAGTGGGAAGGGTGGTTTCCTTGTTATTGGTGCCCCATCTGAGGAGGGGGAAATGGCCAAGTGGTAGAAGCAAAGTAGGGGTGGGGGAGCAGCCCCAGCCCACCTCAGGTGGCTGCCACAGGGCTCATGGGCCTCACCTGGACAATAGGTGACTGCATCTCCATCACTGCAATATGCACTCAGTACCCAGGCAGAGGGTAAGGGGGCTGGGGCCACTGCAAAGAGGGAGTAGGGGACTCACACCCCTCCTGCTTTCCTGTAGCCAATGGGGGCTGTCCAATCTAGTGCAGGGACTAGGGAAGGTGGGGAAGGATGAAAGGTGTGAGCCTCACATGGTGACAAAGACAGTTTGGCTGGGGGAATCCTGGGGGCCAGCACCCCCCTCCATTGGCCACACCTGCTGCTGCCAGGACAGTGGAGTGGGGTGTCCCAGAATGGGGGCTTGGGCCCCTTTTAAGGCCAGGGGAGCCCTCCCAGGCCCCTCTATGGGAAGCCAGAGGGAACAGTGGAGGAGCAGAGAGGTGGCCCCCAAACCAAAAGCACAGAGAGCAATGTCCCCACCACCAAAGGAGTGGGGACGCAGCAGGTGCAGGGTGCGGCTAAGTGGGACATTAGACTTGTCCAGGAGGGCACATATGTATGAGTGGGTGGGCGGGGGTTGGGGGTGGGAACAGGCCAGGGGAAAAGTCCTCCCCACTTAGCCTATAGGGACCCTGCAGCGGCTGGTGTGTTGTGTAGTGTGGTGGTGAGGGCCAGGTGGAAGATGGGGGTGGTGGCAGGAGGCGGTGGTGATGGTGGGTGTCGGGAGGGGGTGGAGGGTGTGGCGGGGTGGGAGTGGATCAAAGCTGTCCAGTCCCAGAAGGAAGCTGCTCCTTCGGTGAGGACTCCTGCGAGATGCCCTTCTCTTCCTCCTTCTCCAGTTTTTTGGGTCTTTCCCTTGGTTTCCTTCCTGGAGTTGTGGTGGTTTTCCGGGTCTTAGCAGCACCCTTGTTTTTGCTTCCCTTTGGTCGGCCCGAGGTCTCTTAGGTGTTGGCATTTCGCTGGGCTCCTTCTGACTCCATACCAGCAATGTCCCGGGACTCACCGGAGGCTACTAGTGGGGTCTGCCACGGCCCCGCTTCTCAGTGCCATCCTTTTTCTGCTTGGAGGCCAAGGGCTGGCTGGACTTTGAGCTTGACTTGCTCATCTTCCCTTCTCTAAGGAGCAGGTGGAAGAGTGATGGCTGGGATGGGCGAACTCGGCCGCCAGCCTGTGGTGCATGCTCCGGTTTGGTGGGAGCGGCGGTGCTGGGCGCTGAGGCCCGGCCAGGCTCCACCGCTGCCACCGCTGGTCACAAATGTGGATGCCTTCCTGGAGCCGCGCCAGCGCCAGAAATAGCCCAGGCTCGGAGTCCCCCTTAGGACAGCGCAGCCCCGCCTCAGGGGAGCTAAAAAGTTCTCTACATTTTTTTTTTTTAAATCAACTATTCTTATCTCCATTTTATGGTAATTTACCCAGTATCACACAAGTAGGAGGTAGTGAAGTCAGAATGCATTCACATGCAAGTCTGACTCCAGAGCGTCTCAACCAAAGACATTTGTAAAAAATATGAAAAAAAGATAAATATCCCGAGTAAATTAAAAGCTCATATTTAAAAAATGGCCGGGCGCGGTGGTTCATGCCTGTAATCCCAGCACTTTGGGAGGCTGAGGTGGGTGGATCATTTGAGGTCAGCAGTTCTAGATCAGCCTAGCCAACATGGTGAAACCCCGTCTCTACTAATAATACAAAAATTAGCCAGGTATGGTGGTGGGCGCCTGTAATCTCAGCTACTAGGGAGGCCGAGGCATGAGAATTACTTGAACCCAGGAGGCAGAGTTTGCAGTGAGCTGAGATCATCCTGTCGAACTCCAGCCTGGGTGACAGAGCGAGACTCTGTCTCAAATAAATAAATAAATAAATAAATAAATACTAATAAAATAAAAAATAGAAGAAGAAAAATGGCCAGGCATAGTGGTGCACACCCATAGTACCAGCTGCTTGGGAGGCTGAGGCAGGGAGATTGCTTGAGCCCAGGAGTTCAAGTCCAGCTTGGGCTACATTGCAATAAAAATTTAAACTATAAGAAGAAAAACCATTTGAGATCCCAAAGATAAGCAAAGGATGTGACATTTCACAAAAGAGGGGCTGTAGATGACTAATAAATATAGTATTGAGATTCTGATTTCTAGTTCATCAAATTAGAAATTATTTTAAAAACAAGAATACTCAACATTGGCAAAGGTTTAGTGTGACATCATGCTGCAACAGTATGCATGAAGACATCAAAAAATGTTTTCACTTCTTCAACCCTGCAATTTCAGTTCTATAAATACAACCAAAAGGCATTTTCTGAAATGAATATAAAAATATATTCTCCAGGCCGGGCGCGGTGGCTCAAGCCTGTAATCCCAGCACTTTGGGAGGCCAAGACGGGTGGATCACGAGGTCAGGAGATCGAGAACATCCTGGCTAACACGGTGAAACCCCGTCTCTACTAAAAAATACAAAAAACTAGCTGGGCGAGGTGGCGGGCGCCTGTAGTCCCAGGTACTGGGGAGGCTGAGGCAGGAGAATGGTGTAAACCCGGGAGGCAGAGCTTGCAGGGAGCTGAGATCCAGCCACTGCACTCCAGCCTGGGCAACAGAGAGAGACTCCGTCTCAAAAAAATATATATATTTTTTTGGTTCTTAATATATATATATTCTCCAACAAATTCCCTGTGGTATTTTTATAATAGCAGAATATTGAAAATGTCTTTAAAAAGAGAATAAATAATTGACTATGCTATATATACTGAAATATTACGCAATGATTAAAGGTAATCTTTTCTGTTTGTTTTTGTTTTTGAGACGGAGTTTCGCTCTGTCACCCAGGCTGGAGTGCAGTGGCAAGATCTCGGCTCATTGTAACCTCTACCTCCCAGGTTCAAGCAATTCTCCTGCCTCAGCCTCCTGAGTAGCTGGGATTACAGGCGCCTGCCACAAGGCCCGGCTAATTTTTTTTTCTATTTTTAGTAGAGATGGGGTTTCACCATGTTGGCCAGGCTTGTCTTGAACTGGCCTCAAGTGATCTCCTCACCTCGCAGGCATGAGCCACTGACCCAGCCATTAAAGGTAATCTTTAGAAAGAATTTGCAATGGCATAAAGCAAATGTTTATGATGTAATATTAAGTGAAAGAAGCAGGATACAAAATTACATATCAATTATGATTTCATATATGTAAACCACTATGTGTTCAACAAAAGGAAAACATCAAAATGATAACAGAGAGTACATTTCCTTCCTATGCTCTTTTCTATTTTGTAAGTTCTCTACAATGAGTTTGTTTCCTTTTGTAATCACTTTAAAAAAAAAAAAAAAGACTAGTCCCCAAAACTCACTTTAGGGACATAAAAAGTTTACAAACAATCTCTTGGGAGCTCCCTCAATTCCCCACAACAGTCTCCCTGAACCTGGTTCCTTCCAAAATGCACCTCCAAATGTGATCTTCCCAAACCTTTGCTTATTGCCCTGTAAAACTTTGTCTCATATCTGTTTCCTAAAATTCATTATCTCCCCAAATCTGCTGTTTCCTAAGTCTTGCACTGAACTCAAAATCCCTTAAGTCTCATTACCCCATCCACCAGTGAGAAGAGCCCTGTGGCAAGCACCAAGAGTGGCCCACAGCCCAGGCCAAGCTTGACTAGAGCAGGGCTGACTGGACTGGGTAAAGAGAGTTGGTTCCTTAGACCTCCCCTCCCAGCTTCGCATCTGACACCCGTGATGGTGACCAGAGGGGACAGAGATATTTTTGCACAAAGGCTCTTCAAATCTGTTTTCTTTTTTCTTTTTCTTCTTTTTTTTTTTTTTTTTTTTTTGGAGACAGTCTCTCTTTGTCACCTAGGCTAGAGTGCAGCGGCGGGATCTCGGCTCACTGCAACCTCCGCCTCCCGGGTTCAAGCGATTCTCCTGCCTCAGCCTCCCCAGTAGCTGGGACTACAGGCACCGCGCCACCACACCCAGCTAATCTTTTGTATTTTAGTAGAGACGGGGTCTCAACATGTTGGCCTGGCTGGTTTTGAACTCCTGAGCTTAGGCAATCCGCCCGCCTCAGCCTCCCAAAGTGCTGGGATTACAGGCCTGAGCCATTGCAACCGGCCCCGTTTTCTTTATTTTAAAATTGATTGGTTCTTAAACAATTTAAAATTGATTGGTTCTTAAACAATTAAACAATTGATTGGTTCTTAAACAATTCAGAGGCTGACTTTCAAGTGCAGCCTCTGAATTATTTAATATATTTCTTCCTCTTGAAATTCTAGAGATAGATTTTTTTGTTATCTTCTCTCTCTAAATGCTTATCCATTTAAATACTCACCACCACGTAAGAGACTTACTACATTCATTAGCTGTTTCAAAATCCACTTCCCGTTCTCGGGCTCCACACCACCCACTGACCCTTTCCCTCATGGCTTGAGTGTGACAAAGCGTTTGAGTGGGCACCGTGCAGGTGTAGGTTTTCTGCCCGAGTACCGACGTGGCTTCCTAGGTCATCTAGAACTCCCGCGCGGTGGGCGGGGGCAAGTAGGCGCACTGGGCGGCCCAGAGCCAGCCCACTGTTCCCGACACCGTCCTTAACGGCCGACCCTGGCTCTGGTACATCCCCAGCTGAACTGAAGCTCACCGAGCCTTCGTGCGCCATAGCCAACGCTGTCGCAGCAACTCTGCCGTTTCTGCTGCGTCCCGGCCGCGCCGCGGCCTAACAGTCGCCTCGGCAACCACGCGCTCGGGGTCGCTCGCCCCGCCCACAGTTGCCCCGGCAACCGCGCCACGTTCCGGCCGCTCACCCCGCCCAAGGGCCGTGCGTACGTGCGTCGTCTCTATGGTGGCGGTGGATTTGGAGGGACCCTACGAACCAAGAGTCAGGCGAGCCGATCTGGGGGCTGCGGGTGTTACTTCTGACCTAGGCCGGGGGCTTCAGGGATCCGAGCCGAGGTAGAAAGCCTTGGGGTCTTCATCACACTTATTTGGCTCGCAGGCTTGGGGCCATCGGGTGGTCCTGTGTCATCACCATTCCTCCTCTGCGATTCCCCCGTCGCCCCAAAACAGCCCTGGGACTCCCCTGTCTTGCTCCTCGAGACCCTCCCCACGCCATGTGACCCTCCCCCATCACCGTCGTCAGGGCACCCCATCCTGTGACCCAGTATCAGGCATCTTTCGAAATGCTCGATGATAGCCTCCCTCGGACATCTCCGCTGCGTCTGTTTGTAGCGCGCCTGGTGATTCGAAGGCACCTCCCTACAGAATGTTCCGCTGGGAGCGCTCCATTCCCCTTCGAGGCTCGGCCGCCGCCCTGTGCAACAACCTCAGTGTGCTGCAGCTGCCGGCTCGCAACCTCACGTATTTTGGTGTGGTTCATGGACCAAGCGCCCAGCTTCTCAGCGCTGCTCCTGAGGGTGTGCCCTTGGCCCAGCGCCAGCTCCACGCTAAGGAGGGTGCTGGAGTGAGCCCACCACTTATCACTCAGGTGAGGCATGGAGTTAGCAGTGATGTTGCTGAACCCTGTCCTACCCCCAGCCTTTTCTCTCCAAACCTTCAGGAGCAGGCATGTTCTAACTTCAGAATCTCCACCTTTCTGCCTGGCGCGGTGGCTCACGCCTGTAATCCCAACGCTTTGGGAGGCTGAGACGGGCACTTGAGGCCAGGAGTTCGAGAACAGCCTGGCCAACATGGTGAAACCTCTTCTCTACTAAGAATACAAAAATATTAACGGGGTGTGGTGGTGTGCACCTGTAATCCCAGCTACTTGGGAGGCTGAGGCAGGAGAATCGCTTGAACCCAGGAGACTGAGGTTGCAGTGAGCCGAGATGGTGCCACTGCACTCCAGCCTGGGCAAAACAGCAAGACTCCATTCCCCCCCACCCCCCGCCAAAAAAAAAGACTCATCTTCCCTGCTTTGATTTTCTCCCTACACTGATGCACCTCCCTCCAGGTCCACTGGTGTGTCCTCCCCTTCCGAGTGCTGCTGGTACTCACCTCACATCGAGGAATACAGGTAAGAAGAGGACTCTCCTGCTTGCCCCACCAGAGCCTTCTCAGCTCCCCTCCAGGCTTCCAGACTCTTCCCCACTTGCCTCTGAACACTTCCAAACTTTTCACATGCTTGGCCCACTTACTTTTTTTCTATTTCTTATCTTCAATCTTTCCATCTTTTCCAGTTCCCAAGTGTCACCTCCAGTATCTGCCCCTTTACTAGCTGTGTGTTCTTACACTATTAACTTCTCACTCTCACTGTTATCCTCTGAAAAAATTAGGATAAAAATAGTACCTACATCCCAGATTTGTTTTGAGGATTAAATGGGCTAAGGCTAACATGGATATGTGAAGTACTCAGCAGAGGTCAGTTGGGTTATGCCCCCTGGTTCTTGCCCTTGTCTTCCAGATGTACGAGTCCAATGGCTACACCATGGTCTACTGGCATGCACTGGACTCTGGAGATGCCTCCCCAGGTACCTGCAGGACCAAGTGGGGTAGGGGCAGAGAGTGTTTGCTAGGGCTGCAGGAAGGGATATTTCTGATCATTCTTCCCTTTCATATTCAGTACAGGCTGTGTTTGCCCGGGGAATTGCTGCCAGTGGCCACTTCATCTGTGTGGGTGAGGGAGCCAAGGGTAGGGCATGGAGGGGTGCTGGAGCATGTGGGTTGTGGCCAGGAGGATAATGAGGGCCTGAGGAAACTGTGGAAAGTTAGAGGGAAGGGTGGAACTGGAGTGGAATCAGAGACTCCAGTAAACCATGGAAGGGTTCAGAGGATCAGGGTGGGATAGGATGAGGATAGTGAATGAAGGGGCATGGCTGTTGGAGCAGTGAGAGGGGGTTTTGTTACTATGGTTTCTGGGATGGAGTAAGTGTTGAGTATGGTGGCTGGAGACCCAGGTGGGTCAGGAAGTCATCACTGGGGTACTGGTTCTGGCTATAGGAACATGGTCAGGCCGGGTGCTGGTGTTTGACATCCCAGCCAAGGGTCCCAACATTGTACTGAGCGAGGAGCTGGCTGGGCACCAGACACCAATCACAGACATTGCCACTGAGCCTGCCCAGGGACAGGTGAGTGCACTTCCCCTACCCAGCTGGGAGCCTTCCCCACCCTGGGAGGGAGGGGACCTGGCTCTGAGTCTTGGCTCTGCCACTAAACAGGTGGATTGGCAAATCTGCATTTTCCTAGTCTTTAGCAACCAGGTTCGGTGATAAAGCCAGAGATACTTTACATTTATGTAGTATTTTATAGTTAACTAAGGCTTTATAATACTGATGTGAAATGAGGAGTTGGAACAAATGGTTTCTAAGATACTTTCCAGCTCTGAAATGTGCAGCCTCCTTCTCTAGGGCAAGTCCCACCTATTCAGGCCCAGCTCCAGTGCCATCCATCCTCTCCAGGAAGCCTTCCCCATATTCTAGCTCCCACTGATCTCTCTTAGCTGAAACCTGAATTGGCACTGCCCTCAAAAGACAACTCTTGTCTCCCCAATTAATTTGCAAACCTCTTGAGAGGAGGGTATTTTCTTATTCATATTCTCCATTGTACCTGGCATAGGGCTAGGCCCATGGGCTGTGTTGGCTGCCTGGTGTTGGGGGTGCAGGGGCCCAGGGTCTAGTCATGACTGTGACTGGTTCACTACAAGACCTCCAGAAGGTCATGACACTGTGGCCTCAGTTTTATCATCCATCCAGTGAGGCAATTATGCAGCCCCTCCTAACGTGTTACTGGGGGATGGGACTCCACGAAGAAATTCAAGGAAAGCAGTTCATGCTTCCTAAGGGAACGCTGGTGGTAGGGGTGGTTTCTGATGGGTCTAGCTAGTGAGACCCATCTTGCCCTTTGCCTAGAGAGGCAAAGATGCACACATTGCCTCCCTTCCCCTCCTGCCCTGTATACAGGACCATAGCAGGGGAGAAAGGGAAGGGCTGATCTTGCCTTTCCCTTCAGGATTGTGTGGCTGACATGGTGACGGCAGATGACTCAGGCTTGCTGTGTGTCTGGCGGTCAGGGCCAGAATTCACATTATTGACCCGCATTCCAGGATTTGGGTAGGTGAGGCAGAAGGGGTAGAGGGCTTCCTGAGGTGGCTTCAGGTTGGGGAGTACGATTTGATCTGGCAAAACAAAGTTGGGTGTCACCCTTGCAGAGTGCCGTGCCCCTCTGTGCAGTTGTGGCAGGGGATCATAGCAGCAGGCTATGGGAACGGACAAGTGCATCTGTATGAGGCCGCCACAGGAAATCTACATGTCCAGATCAATGCCCATGCCCGGGCCATCTGCGCCCTGGACCTGGCTCCTGAGGTGGGCAAGGTCAGTCTCCTCCTCTGTCCCTACATACCCTTTTTCCTGGCAGTGGAATGTTGAGAGAACACCACAGGCTTGTCTTCGCAACTCAGTGCCTCCCCGGGGCACCTCGACTGGGGATTCCATCTTATACCTGTCCCCTGTCAGGGCATTCTGACTCCCCCCGCTTCCTCTTCCACAGCTACTCTCTGCAGGTGAGGACACCTTTGTGCATATCTGGAAGCTGAGCAGAAGCCCAGAGAGTGGCTACATTGAGGTATGTGTCATGGGGTGGGTGGAATGGGGGGGGCCCGAGCATGGGGCAGCAGTCCCTGACCAGCCCTCTGCTCTCCCAGGTGGAACACTGTCATGGTGAGTGTGTCTCTGACACCCAGCTGTGTGGTGCTCGATTTTGTGATTCCTCGGGCAGCTCCTTTGCCGTAACTGGCTATGACCTTGCGGAGATCCGGAGATTCAGCAGTGTGTGAGAAGAGCAGCCTTCCTTTGTCCCTGTGGTATTCATAAAGTACCCACTCCACCCAGCGTTAGTCTGATTACTCAGTATCACAGTCATATTTCACAGCTGGTAAACTACGCTCCAGGGATGAAGTGAGGCAGGTCTAGACCAGGCAGAGAGAGGCACCCTGTCCTCAGGAGCCAGGTGAAGGCTGCTGTTAAATAGCTTTAATGGTTGATGTGGGAGTCACAAGGGAGGTATGTTTCCTCCAAGGGTTCTTCAGTGCCATCCTCAAAGCTGGTTAGTGCAGGGAGGTAGGGCAGAGTTGGTTCCAGTTTTCTTCCAGGAAGGGTTTAGGGAGGTCCCAGCCAGCCCCAGGAATGAGTCCCTCAGTACCATGGCAACCACAATTTAAGAGGGGCTCCTGCCCACCCCTGCAGCCTACCCCAGGTCCAGCAGAGGAACAGGAGGCCAGACTGGCCAGCTTGCTATAGACAGCGCCGTATCCAGAGCCCGACTGTGCATGGGTCATTTTCTCTTCTGGGCAGATCCTATGCCAGCACCTTTCTCTCTCACACTGGTGACTGGAGCCAAGTGCGAGGTTGGCCTTTACTGCAGAGGCCTCTGGTCCGTGGGGATCGCTGAGGTGGGAGGGGGGCAACCGAGCGAGCCCTCGGGAAGTGGTCTGGGGGTACAGCATCCAGGGAAAAGGTTCGGGGTCTCCCCCAGGGCAGGGGGTGGGTCCAGGCTGGGGCTGGGGCCACTGAGGCAGGCGAGCAGGGGTTAGGCAGGGCAGGCTGGTCTGTAAACATTGCCAGCCAGGGTGGGGGTGTTTCCAGCCTTGCGCCCTCCCGCTGGGTCAGGATGTCTGTCACCGCTGCGATGTCATCCAGCGGCTCAATAGCTGTGGCACCAGGAAGGGATTGGGGGAGGGGTGGGCTAGTCAGAGCTCAGGCCCCAAGCCTACCCAGCCCTATCACCTGTCACTGTAATAGGAGGAAAGCAAAGCCCGGATCTCAGCCGAGATTGCGTTATCCTGCAGGAGCAGCCCCTCACCTAGGCCCCCTGGGGCTATAGGCTCTGATAAAACTGTGGGATGAGGGGCACAAGGTAGATGGGGATGGGAAGGGGACGGGTGGGGAGCAGAGGTGGGTGAAGAAACCAAGAAAGAGGAGAAAACGAAAGCGGTGCCAGGCAAGTGAGGGGTCAGAGGAAGAGACAGGAATCCACATGCAGAAAGGGAAACAGAAAACAAGAAATTAGGAAAGAAATCAATGAAATGATCCTGGCTTATTGGGGTTTTGTTTTGAACTTTGATGGAGGTGGTTCTAAGAAGAGTTGGAGAAGAGAAAAGAACACACAGGATTGGGTGAGAATTGGGTCTCCAGAGATCTGGTGTAGCCCAGAGTGTGCTTTCTCTGTTTCCATTATCTGGTTTCTCTTGAAGTCCCCAACCCTACTTCCCATTAGCTTCCTGGAGTGCACATTCCTCTCACTTACCCATCTCATGGTACAAGGACCCCTGCTTTGCCAGTGCTTGGGGTGGTTTCCGGGAAGCAGGAGTTTCAATTTTCATGATTTCATCACAACACTGCTTCCACTGGCCTGGAGGAAGAGCGCTGATTAGAAGAGAAGGCCAGGCTGCCCTTTCTCCTGCTACATTCCCTTCCACACAATCTTGAAACAGAGACCTTTAGGAAAAATGACAAAACTCCAGTCCTTCCCAGAGGTTCAACCCAGCCCCCTTCTCTCTTACTCATGTCAAAGAAAAGCTGCCACAGAGCCTCCATCCAGCTCTGCAGGGCTTCCCGACTTTCTGTCTGAAGGGTGTGTGTCACCTCATCATCCCCATACTGGTTACTGATGCTTAGCGTGAAGGGCCGTCCTAGAGCCTGGTCCAGCTCCCCTGCCCGGACTCGAGTCTCCTGCAGGAGAAAGAAGAGGTCTACCTTGGTCACAGAAGTTGGCAGTGACAATCAGGCAGCCTTGATCACCCCTGCCTTAGAAGAATGAGCTTGCGGGGCTTTTGCTGAGCCCTCTCATTTGCCTCCTACTGACCAGAGTAGGAAGGAATGGCAAAAAAGGGCTGGAGATGAGACAGCCAGTCCTGAGTCAGGGGAGGAAGAGCAGCTTGAGACAGGGAAAGATGGATTGGGCAAGGCAGGGAAGACACAGAGGTAGGCAAGGATGCTCCAGCCAGAGGTCCCTCAGAATTGCCAAAAAGTAGGCAGGAAAGCCAATAAAAGGGATGGGGAGCAAAGAAGGGCAATTGGACCTGGAGAGAAATGGGAAGTGGTAAAATAGATACAAATTGGAATCTGAGGGAGAAGAGGGAGAGAGGATGAAAAGCCCTGAACTGGCAGGCGGGAAAACCCTCTCTGAGACTTGGCAGGGACTGAGGATGGCAAATGAATGGGACAGTCCTCTCCCAGTGATGCTGTGGTGGGGAGAATACGGGCCCCAGAAGCTGGATGTGGCACTGTCAGGAGCAGGAGGCCTGCTTCTATCTCTCTGAGGTACGTGCCCACCCTCCTGGGGCCTGAAGGAGAGGCTCCTGGGCCTGTGCCTTTGGTGGCCTTACCACAAGGGACCCATCACCTTGTTGATGGCAATAGTAAGCAGCGGCTCTTCCCCAGTGTCTGCATCCTCAGGTCGCCGGTAACAGAAGAGGTTTGTGCCTTTTAGAACTCCATGCACTTGTGCCCAGTTCTGCATCTCCCCAGCTGGCTGCACAAATGACTCAACATTTTCTGGGGAAGTCACACCCCCCAGTATCTCTCTTCTCAGCCCCCCTTTTGTCCACCCTGCTGTCCATTCCTCCCCTCATCTGGTCATATCCCATTTCTTCCACCCAAATCTTGATTTTTCATTAGCTCTTCTATTCCTGGTTATCCAGCTCTCCTCTGCCTTCTCCCTGCTCCCTTCCACTCCTCAGGGCCCTCTCACCTCACCTGCACCCTGAGGGTACCACTTGCAGTAGGCTGAGTCATGCAGAGAGGCTGAGCTGCCAGACGGCAACACACACTACCATAAAGGGGTAGCCAGGCAGGGTTCTCCTCTGGGGGAGGAGGAAGTGCAGGGTGAGGTAGGGGAATGAGAAGGGGACCGTCCCACAGCCCCTCTTCTCACCATCACATGTGTGTGTCCCCCATGCACATACATGCTTACCATGACTGGCAAGGGTGAGGTCATGTGTGCGGAATCCATCTTGCACTGCTGCCAGGGTGAGTGTGGTGTGAGCCAAGAGGTGGTATCGAGGACCACTAAGGGAGATAGGAGAGAGCATCAGCCGAGGGAGGGGCGTGTTGGCCAGCAGGAACTCTAAGGGCTGAGCACATCTGCCCCATTGTTCAGGCTGCCCCACAGAAAACTCGCTTGTCTCCCCAGAGGGTTAGGAATGAACATTTACTGAGCTCCAGCTAAGTGTCAGGACCTATGCTTTATATGTTTTATCCCACTGTATTCCTATGACAGCCCTGTGAGGTTGGTGGCATTCTTCAACTAGATGAGGCAACTTGAGGCTTAGAGAGGTTAAGAAACTTGCCCATAGTTTGTAACTGGAAAGTGGGGGAGTTTGAATTTGAACCCATATCTGTGTCCAAAATCAGTATTCTGTTGACTACCCAAAGGTTCTCAAACTGCTTCTCAGAGTCTCAGTGGTCCCATGAGGTGTCTCCGGGTACATGTAGATACCACCACAGGTCCAGGGTACTCTGCTCCAACCAAGAAGCTCTGCTCTATCCACATAAAATGTATTTGCTAGGCTGAGTGCTGTGGCTCATGCCTGTAATTCTACCACTTTGGGAGGCCGAGGCGGGAGGATCACTTCAGCCCAGGAGTTCGAGACCCCGTCTCTAAAAATAAAATGTATTTGCTGCTACTAAAAAGTTAAGACCCCAAGGCCTAAGTCTCCCTGCCTTCCTACTGGTATTCTGGACTGGCTTCAGCCCAGCTCTGGGGCGTGGGCTGGAATGCCTCCCAGCTACGTGGCCACTGCTCATTCATGTCTGTCTGCACATCCTGGCAGCAATGCAAAATGGGTTCTGCACACTCAACACAGTTCAAAGGTCACCTGTGGGCTGAATATAGGCAGCTGAGGGTAGTGGCAGTGTGCAAGGCCTTACCCAACAGCTGGGGTGGGAAGCAAGATGGGACTGCTCCCTGAACCCCCAGCACTGTCCAGCGATGCCCGGACACGCCTCCCTGAGGAGCGGCCCAGGGAGCTGCTGAGTTTGGTGGCAAGCCTCTTGGGGGCACCAGTCAGGGCCCCCTCTTCTTCCACACAGGCCCCATACAGCTCTAACCGAAGTTCAAAGTCTGGCCCCGCCTCAGCGCTGGTGGGAGGAAGGAGGGTGATCACAGGAAAGTCCAGGGAGGCAGAGGGTGGGGGATGTGGGTGGGGCAAGTGCAGGACAGCTCCACAGGGAAGGCCAGGTGCCCCCCACCCACAGCTTCCTCCCCTGGAACTTGCTCATCTAGAACTGGAGCAGAGTGGAGGAAGGGAGCCACAGTTTGAGGTACTCACAAGAGCACATTGCTCTGAAAGGAGATGTCTGTAAGGGTCCTGTCCACCAGGATCATCTCTGTGTCCTGGATGTGTTCCCCCAGCTGCAGTAGCAGGAACACAGCCCAGCGGTGCAAGTCTAGGAACAAAGAGGGCAAAACTCAAAAAACACGTCCCACAAGAGCCTCCTACGTCAGGGTCATTCCCCTGAATCTGTCCCAGGGTGTGTGGAACTCACCACCTTTGTTCTTGAAATATTCTGTGTCCTTCCACATGAGTGGAATCCGGAGGTCTAAGGGGCAGGGGGGTAGGAACAGATGTTGAGATGGGGCAAAAGGCCGTGTGCTTGGGCAAGGGGTGCCAGCAGCTGGGGTAGCTGTGCTTCTTACCGGAGATGCAGACCCGGCCGCGGCAGGGGGAGCGCTCAGCGGGCGGGCCACTGTCAGAAGGCCTGTGGATAAATAACAATGTCCTGGCCTGGCCTCTAGCCACTATTCCCCCTTGCTCTGGTCCCAAGGACTCTAGGATCGCCCTGGTCCCAGGGCTTCAGCCACCAGGTCCCCAGCCAGGCTGACAGGCAGGGCTGAGGGACTATAAAGGGAAAGTTGTCCATTGAACCCAGCAGTTTGCCAGGCTTGGGGACACCAGGGACACTCAAGCCACGTTAACTCACACATAAGGCACAAGCTCAGGGCTCCTCTCTCCAAGCACCCTCCCTGACCACCTCTCCAGACCCCTGCCAAGGACAGGTGTGGCCTTGAGGGGACAGGTGCCCACAGAGAGACTTCATTTCCAGGGCTCTCCATTAAACCCCTGCCTTAGAGGCATTTCCAGGCTTTTTTTTTTCTTTCTGTTTTCTTTTTTTTTTTTTAACAATAGGAAGGCTGCTTATTTCCCACTATCCCATCACTGCTTTGATATAGGAGGGTACTGGGTCAGAAAATAATTTGGCCAACGTTTGTTCAAAGGGAAATCACCAATAGGGAAGAGTTACATTCTATTCACTACAGACCCTTTTCCTTCCCTACCACTCCCCAACTTTGATTTCTCCTTTTTCCTCCTGGCCCTATATGCTGTACCCTACTAGTGCCCCAAGTTCTGCAGCCCCCTACCCACCCCACTGCAGGGCCCAACACCCCACCTTCCTTCCCTCCCCGCGCATCAGGACTCACCACATGTGTCTCTTTCCTGAAGCGACTGCCAGTTCATCTGTACTTATCCATAATGCCACTAAAGTAATTACTGACTTAGTAGAGCCTTAAGCTAAATGATGTGGCACTAATGGCAATGTGTTTAGCTGCCAGGCACTTGGGGTGTACCTCAAATCACCTGTGTGGGCTGTGTGAGGACTTCGGCAGGACAGAGTCTGTCCATGCTGCTTTTCAGGAGAGGCTGTCCCCCCGCCAGCTTGCCCTTCCTCTAGCTTCATGGGATAGCCATAGAGTGGGTTTTCTGCCTTCTGGTAGCTTCATGGGTGAGCTCCTGGCAACCTCCCCTTGTGTCAGCCTTCATGGGTGGAATGAGCACCACGCCTGTGAGGGGCTGGGACTAATTCCCCAAGCAGCCTCAGTGGAGTAAGTAGGCCACTTTCCTAAAAACCAGTTCTCCAAATGACCACTTTATCCAAATTGGCATATTCTTAGAATAATTTGCCAAATATTTTCCCCACTATTTTGGTTTTATCATGGCATCACTTAAGTCATTATAGACTTGTCAGATCAACAGTCTAATGTCAGTGTTGCTTACATTTTATGTCCAGAAGCTGCACCCTTTTAGAATGCACAATCTAATTTGTTTGAATGGGTAGGCTTTCCTTAAGTGGTTTCTTATTTCCTTTCCCACTCCCTGCCTCTGATGGTGAACCCCGGATAACAAACTATTGTCGGTATGTGGTAAATTGGCCATTTTGTGAACCAGCATTGAGGAAATTAATTTTCCAAAAGCCAGGTAGCCAGTCTTACTGGATCACAGACAGGGCTTAGCAAATTAGTGCTTTTGCATTACTTGCTACCCTTCAGATCAGCTACCTTTCACTAGACACACTGACTTTCCTAAGTCCTGCCCTGCCTACTCACAAATGCGCCTCTGGGCAACACATAATGGTGGTAAAACACCAAGGTCTCTCCCAGGTCCCTGATAAGACTTCATGGGGAAGTCATCTTTAAGGTGGTCCACATGCCACACATGCACACACTGCACCATCACCACCCAGAAGGCCTCCTGCCTCCATCAAGGCCTTGCCTCCCCCTTGCTCACCGCCGGCCTGTCTTCCCCAGCACCTGCGCCTCCTTGCGCCGCTGCAGCTCGCCCATGTAGCTGAGGATGCGGCTGTTGCACACTAGCAGGCTCTTGGTGGCCTCCAGAGCCTGCTCTCGCTGGGAGCAGGCTGCCAGCAGCTTACAGGCCCCTTCCCTCATCCGGATCTCATGGTCTAGCTTCCTCTGCAACTCCGTGTCCTAGCCAGGGTTGGGGGGAGGGTGAGAAGGAAATGTCAGTCAGAGGACAGGCTAAAGCACTCCCCAGTCCCCAAGTGGGCTGTGGCCAGTAAAACTGACAAGAAACTAATGTTTTAGGCAGTTCAAGAGCAGGCATTGGGTGTCAATCTCAGCTGCCCACGAATATCCAGAGAAGCTTTGTAGCCAGGTGCAGTGGTGTGTGAGGGAGGCTGAGGCGGGAGGATCCCTTGAGCCTAGGAGATCAAAGGCCAGCCTGAGCAACATAGTGAGACCCCACCTCTAAAAAATATATATAACAAATAAGAAAAATAGAGATGCCCTCATGCATTTGATGGTTGGAAGTATAAATTCCTTCAGCCTCTTTTGAGTGCAATTTGGAAAAAAATCTATGAAAACTACAAATTCATATATCCTCTAATCCAGCTATCCAATATCTAGGAGTTTATCTTACACATATAGTTTCACATATAACTAGGTAAAGCCATACATACAAAAATATTCATTGCAGCATTGTTTTAAAAATCAAAATTAAGGCCGGGCGCGGTGGCTCAAGCCTGTAATCCCAGCACTTTGGGAGGCCGAGACGGGCGGATCACGAGGTCAGGAGATCGAGACCATCCTGGCTAACATGGTGAAACCCCGTCTCTACTAAAAAAAAATACAAAAAACTAGCCGGATGAGGTGGTGGGCGCCTGTAGTCCCAGCTACTCGGGAGGCTGAGGCAGGAGAATGGCATAAACCCGGGAGGCGGAGCTTGCAGTGGGCCGAGATCCGGCCACTGCACTCCAGCCTGGGCGACAGAGCGAGACTCCGTCTCAAAAAAAAAAAAAAAAAAAAAAATCAAAATTAAAACCCCCTCAGTAGGACATTGGTTAAGTAAGTAACAGCACATCTGTACCCTGTAGTATTGCAGACATTAAAGAGGTATGCATTTGTATACAGATATGAAACAATCTCCAAAATAAATTATGTGAGGAAAGAATGGTAGTATTACACATACATGTATGATATATATGTGTATGCATGCATATATATACATATATATAGATATGCATATTTATGCATAAAATATTAGTGATTTTAGGCCTGGGAGCCAGGAATGGAAAACATTTATGATACTTTTTTTTTTTTTTGAGACTGAGTCTCACTCTGTCACCCAGGCTGGAGTGCAGTGGCGCGATCTCAACTCACTGCAACTTCCGCCTTCCAGGTTCAAGTGACTCTTGTGCCTCAGCTTCCTGAATAGCTGAGATTACAGGCATGCACCACCATGCCCAACTAAGTTTTGTATTTTTTTTTTTTTTTGAGACTGAGTCTCACTCTGTTGCCCAGGCTGGAGTGCAGTGGCATGATCTCGGCTCACTGAAACCTCCACCTCCCAGGTTCAAGCAATTCTCCTGCCTCAGCCTCCGGAGTAGCTGGGATTACAGGTGTGAGCCATCACACCCAGATAATTTTTATATTTTTAGTAGAGACGGGGTTTCACCATGTTGGCCAGGCTGGTCTCGAAATCCTGACCTCAGGTGATCTACCCGCCTCAGCCTCCCAAAGTGCTGGGATTATAGGCATGAGACACCACGCCCAGCCGAACTTTTGTATTCTTAGTAAAGATGGGGTTTCGCCATGTTGGCCAGCCTACTCTCGAACTCCTGGCCTCAAGTGATCCTCCCGCCTCGGCCTCCCAGAGTGCTGGGATTACAGGCTTGAGTCACCATACCCAGCCTAATGATACTTTATATATACTCTTTGTACTACTGGAAATTGTATTTCCTTTAAAAAATATTAGATCTTTGGAGTTTAAAAAAAAAATGACCAGGCCCTACCTCAGATTTGCAGAATAAGAATCTCTAGGAGTAGGGCATATGTACTTTTGGAAAAGTCCCCAAGTGATTCTGAGGTACAGCCAGGTTGAGAACCACCAACTTATGGGAATGGATAGAAGGAAAGGCAAATGAGAGTTATCCCTCAGACTCAAGTGATGCTGGGGACATCTAGTTGGCAAGGGATCAGTGGACAAGGAGCATACCACCTACAGTGTTCATTGATGCTGCACAGAGCCCTATACACCCCAAATTAGAAGACTAGAAGACCCAACACCTACTGGCCCTCTGAGCTTGGGAGATAAGGTCAGAGGCAAGGAATGGGGATGGGAAGGTAGGTGGTCCAGGAGTGAGAGACTGTGGATAAGGGCCAGCTGAGAGGCACTGGGAGAGACACCAGGATTCTCAGGAGCATTCATTTAGAAAGGAGCCCTTCCTGCTTCTTAAAAAGCAATGGGCAATTAGCTCAACCTCCTTAAGCCTCAGTTTCCCCATCTGTAAAGCAGGAATGGAAATAGTCCCTAGATCCTAGGGCTGTGAGAATTCTGTGAGGCAGGAACTTAAAGCACTTAGCACAGTGCCCAGCATGCGGCATACATCAATGGCAGGGATGCTTATTTTCATGATGCTATACTTTGGCGGTAGCAGCATTTACTCACTGGAGCATTCCTGTGCTCTGCAAGGCTGTACATTTAAAATCCAGCTGGGAGATGAGAGATGACAACTTTAATGGCTGCTCCATAAGTGCCATGTCATGGCACAATCATGCTCAGAAGAAACAGACTCTGTTTGCTTCTGGCTGAGGTGATCAAGGAAAGCTTCAGAGAGGAGTTGGAAGACTAACTCCATCACAGTGTACAGATTGGTTCAGGAGACAAGTCGAGCCACCCATTTGAAACAGGGGAACTAATGTGACCACCCCAAACCTGTCTTTTTCCTCATACCAGCTCTCCTCCATACCCTGTGCCCTTGTATCTGTCCCTAGTGGCTCCAGCCTTCAAGTCTCTCAGACCTGAACACCCTAATTTCCCTCTTCTAAAACCCCTGTCCTGCCTGCCTACAGATGCTTCCTTGGCTATTTTCTGGGCCACCGTGCTAGGCCGGACTTTTATCACCTTCCCCCATCACCATCCACCTGTTTTCCTTCTGTAATAAGCCAACCCTTTCCCAAAGTCCCTCCACCAAGAAGCCCTTTCAGACTACATAGGTCCTCCCAGTCTAGTTTTGTCTGCACCAGGGTTCTACACTGCCTGCCAACCCCCACCCTAGTCTGCACCCAGCTTCAGCCACAAACATCCCAAATGGGTGAGCCCGGCAGGAAGGGGACACAGAGGTGTCCTCAACCCCCATCTTGGCTAGTCTCATCCCAGTCCCAGCACTCACGGATCCTTCCCCAGCCCTGTCCATTGCGAGAGGCGCGCACAGGCGCGCGAAGTCCAGAGAGCTGCACTGGCCTGGGGAGCCGGCGGGGCCCGAGGGCCGCGGGAAATCGGAGGAGCCAGGGCGCCGGCGTAGCTGCACCGCCTCCAGCCACAGCGATCAGGGCGCCGGTGACATCAGCTCCCAATTGCCGCGAGAGCAACTGAAGGGTACCAGGGCGTTGGAGGTCCCTCCGGGCACCTGGTTGGGCTTGGCTCAAGGCGGTGCTTCCACCGAGACTCCGTCGCGGCAGGAAGGGACCTCCGGGAGTGGGCCCCACCGCCCTGGAAAAGCTCCTGGCCTTCACGACGTGCTCCAGCTCCGGGAGGCCCCTCCCGCGTAGCGTTTGCCCTCCAAGTTGACCCCTTGCCTGAGAGTATGGAGGGCGGATAGTGTATACATTAGGAGAGCTGGGGCCCTAGGGAGGTCGCTGGGCCTAGCATGGATGAGCGGGACCACAAGCCCAGACACCTCCTCTATTTCCTTACTGCTCTCCAGCCCCAAATCCACTCTCCCAAGGCCCAAGGCCGGGAGCGCCCTAGGAAACTGGCTCCCACCTTTTCACGCAGAGGAACTGGGAATCCTGGCTCAGGATCTGGACCCTTGTGCTTCTAGCGTTTCCCCACCCCAGGGATAGTTCTTTGTTGCCCCCTCCCCACCCAAACGCACCCTCTCCCCAAGTGGGCATCATTTCCCCCAGGCTCCCCTGGGAAAGAGCCCAGAGCTGGGTGTCAGCTGGACCTGGGTCAGATCCCAAGGGGCTAGAGAATGAGTCATGTGCCCCCCACACATTAGGCCCCCTGTTGATATCCCTTCCACCCCTCCCACTCTCTTCTGTCTCTGACTTCCTGCTCTGCTTCTCACCACCCTCTGTTTCCTTCAGAATTTCCACCAGGGCTAAGTACAAATCCTGGCTTAGGGACTTGACAAGCCCAGAGAATTTGACCCCTGGAGCCTGATTTGTAAAATGGGGAGTATTCCACCTCCTTCGTAGCACTGTTTGAGAATTATATGGGAAAGTCTCATCTCTACCCAGGCCTAGCACATGTTTTAAAACAAGCTCCCTTTACTTGCAGCTTGAGTCACTTCCTCCAGAAAGTCTTCTGGGATTTACTCTTCCATGACTCTCTCTCTTAACATTCCCTGAAACATCAATGGGTCTCTCTTTTGAGGACCTGCTGAACTTGGTTGAGAAAGAACACAGCACCCTCAGCCACTCTCCTAAAGGAGAGTGACCAAAGTGAAACTAAGCCTCTCCTCTGCCCCAGAACTTGAACGGGCCTCCCACAGAGAAAAATTACATTTTTTGGAGGAGGGCAGGATGCAGAATTTAAACATTTACATACCTAGACCAGCTCTGTCCAATAAAACCTTCTGCGGTGATGGAAATGTTCAGTAGCCATCTAGCACTTGAAATATGGCTACAGCAACTGTAACTGACATGGACACTGCAGAGGACTATGAATGGCAAATAGGTTTTATCTCATGCACTGATGGAGGATAATTAGGTAGAGTCCCAACGAGTTCACTGGACACCTTTCTACAAATTAGGAAAAGTTGACCCTCTCCAGGCAAAAAAAAAATAGATAAAGGTGCTCCCTCCTGATGCAGTTGAAACCAGACCAGGACTCTCACCTCTGGCTGGCACCTGTGTGAAGGACAGACACAACCTGCACAGTTTATGCCAAGATGGTCCTGAGAAAGATTCTGAGGCCGACTCTGGGCTCATTGATAAAGAGTGCCAAAATTGACCAGTAACATCTACTATGATCCAGGGAGTAGGGGCAGGGCTTGAGCAGGGCAGCACATCCTGATCTAGACTCTTTGCAGTCCTGCCTCTGACCTCTCAGCAGCAGCCCCTGCCTGGTCCAGGCAGTCACTTCCACAGCTTCCTCCATCTTCCCCACCTCCGTAAACAGTCACACCACCCAGTTGCTTAGCCACATACCTGGGAATCATCCTGGAGTTCTCTTTCTTTGCCTTACCCCCCCCCATTCAATCCATCAGCAAATCCTGTCAGACCTACCACTACCATTTTAAATCTACTCCCTTTCTCCACCATAAGCATTTTAATTCACACCACCAGGTTTACTACCCTATTACTGAAACAGCCTCCCACCTGGACATTTGCGACCTCTCTTGCCAACCCTCCACGCCCAACCCTACCATCAACTTCCCACCAGCCTATTCTCCATAGCAGCCATCATTTAAAAACATGACTCATGGGTCATTCCCTTGCTTAAAACCCTTCCATGGCCCAACATCACACTTAAGGTGAAATCCAGGTGCTTTATCATGGTCTTCAAGGCCCTGCATGATCTGGCCCCTGCCCATCAGCTCCACCCCAACTACTATATTCCAGCCACACTGGCTCTCTTTCCCACAAATATATTACCCTCATCCTCATCTCAGGGCCTTTGCCCTTCCTCCAATCTTCACGTATCTCCAAATCCTCCTGAGCTTAGCTCAAAGATCTCCCAACAGAGGCCTCCCCTGACCTCACATCTAACATTGCCTGCCTCATCTGATTTTCATTACATCCCCATTTTCATCATAATTTCTTCACGTGATATTATTTATGTGTTTGTATGTATATTTCTGTTCTCCCACTACAATGGAACTTTCTTGGCTTGTTCACTGAGGTATCTTATGGTCTAGAAAGGAGCTTGGCACATAGTACATGTTCTATACATGTGTTTAAGAATACATAGGTAGGCCAGGCGCGGTGGCTCAAGCCTGTAATCCCAGCACTTTGGGAGGCCGAGACGGGCGGATCACAAAGTCAGGAGATCGAGACCATCCTGGCTAATCCGGTGAAACCCCGTCTCTACTAAAAAAATACAAAAAACTAGCCGGGTGAGGTGGCGGGCGCCTGTAGTCCCAGCTACTCCGGAGGCTGAGGCAGGAGAATGGCGTGAACCCGGGAGGTGGAGCTTGCAGTGAGCTGAGATCCGGCCACTGCACTCCAGCCTGGGTGACAGAGTGAGACTCCGTCTCAAAAAAAAAAAAAAAGAATACATAGGGCAAGGTGCAGTGGCTCACACCTGTAATCTCGACATTTTGGGAGGTCGAGGTAGGGAGATCGCTTGAGCCAGGACCAGCCTGGGCAATATAGTGAGACCTCGTCTCTATAAATAATTGAAAAAAACAAATACATGAATAAACAGCACCTTGCCATCTCAAGGGCCAGCAGAATCCTTACTCATAGCCCAGAGTCCTTCTCTTCTCTAGTAAAGCTACATCCTTTCTGCAAACCTCGCTCACACTGAACTCCTCTCTTCTTCCCATACCTAAAAGGAACCCTTGTCCCCAGAACAGACATCTACACTCACCCACAGAGCTTCCTGAAATAGGTGTAAAAACCCTGCTGCAAACATAAGACTACGATGGGCAGAACTGAGCCTGGGTCCACACACTGCACCCAACACAAGGCATAGGGAACCACCTGTCCCCCTCCCCACTTTAAGCAGGCCTGGCTCTCCCCACCATGCTCTAGCAGGAATGTGCAGGGCAGACATTGGGGCTGGGATGCAAGTGAAGAAAGTGTATACTCCAAGGGTCGGGGGATTACCTCCAGGCTGAGTGCCATCTGCCGAATGTAGAGCATATTCAGGTCCTCCAGGATGTGCAATCTGTCCTGCATCTCTGTGCCCCCCGGTGCCCTTTCCTTTGTCAGCCCCTCCAGAGGGGGGACAGACAGGTACCACACTGTCCCACAGTTCCTCCTCCCACTGTTCCCTCAGTCTTTAAAGAGGTGGCCAGCTCTTGGGCAGAGGTCAGAGGCTGCCCTTATCCCTCTGCACTCCTGTTAAACCTCTCTGGCTGCTGTGACAAATTTTCCTCGCCCACTGCTGCTCCGGGGCCCTGCTGTGAGCCAGGCAGGGAAAAAAAGGAAAGCGAAGTGAGGATGAGTGGGGTCCCAGGAGGAAAGGCCAGCTGCAGAGGGGGCTCTAGGCACAGAGTGTCCAGTCTCGCTTTGGTGGCAGCTGTTCTCCCAGCTGTGGAAGAAAAAGGCCCTTTCATTCCGACTCTGGCCGCTCCCCAGCCCCCGCCCACATCCCTGGCCTGGTGGACAGAGAATCTATGTGTGGAGAGGGCAGTGAGGGGCAGGCACAACTGGAAGGGGGCAGGGAAACGACGCCTCATGCAGGTTCTAGAGCCATAGGGCTTGCAGGAGGTTGGAGCTTTCCGAGAGGGGTTCCGGCTTAGTTTGAGAAAGTTAGGAAAAAGAGCCACAGAGGTGAGGACCTCAGGGGAGAGTGAGCCCAGGGAGCCCAGGACAAAGGGGTGAGTTGGTAAAGCAGCCCAGCCCCAGGGCCACCCCTTCCAACTCAGGGCCCCCATCCAGCCCGCTCCACCCTGGACTCACAATTACCTCGCTTTTCCAGAGAAGGGAGGAGAGGGAGAGAGGAAAGCAGGGGTGTGCCTGTCTGCTGCTGTCCCGCTCCCTTCTGCAGGCCCCTTCCCTTCCAGACAGGAAACCAGCCCCGAATCCCAGCCAGCTGCAGCCTAGCGCCCCCGCCTCCACGCCAGGCCCACGGAGTCACACTCCACTCGGCGGCCGCCGGGCTCTGCGGCTCCGCCCCAGCTCCTCCGAGCTGTCCCCGAAGGCCAGGCTAATCCCAGGGGCGGCCCCAGCTCCCAGGCCCCTCCTCCTGGTCCCAGGCCTCGCCCCTTACTGCCCCACGCTGGCCCCACGCGGGTTCCTCGGGCCCAGTCGCTTGGGGGCAAGGGGACCCGACAAAGGCCCCCTCTCCGCAGGCCCACCAGCTTCTGAATCAGAGAAGGCACGGGACACCGGGACAAGGGTGTGAAAGAGCCTTTGTTCTGGGCAGGCTGGAGGGAAAGGGCAGAAGCCAGGCCTGGAATCCCAGCCGGGAGGGCGAGGGGGCGGGAGGAAGGCCCACCTCACTTAACCCTTTCCAGACCCGGAAGGGAAGGCTTGGAACTGGGCTCTCCTTGGGCGAGTGTGAGTCTGACCTTGGGGACAGAAGAGTCTTCGGGATAGCTATTCGCCCTGTTAGTCCCCGCTCAACCACACACCTTCAGCCCCGCCCTAGCCTCTAGGGCTTTACAGGTGGGGCTCCAACCGGTTAACGCGTGGACGGTGGACGGGGGAAACGCTCAGCCTAGGGGCTGGACTCCTCTTAGGCACCAGGAAAGGAGGCGGAAATTTTGCGTGTGGGAAGTAACCCCAAAGAGTTAAAAGCCCTGCAGGGGCATAGAGGAGCCTTTGAATTGGGCTTCCGAGAAGCGAGCCACCCCGGCCTAAAGTCGGGATTGATGACAGGCTGGCCCAGATGGCTGCGACAGGTTGTGGGATGGGGCTGGCGGCAGGGGAACAAGCGGGAGCCCAGGCCAAGAGTCCGAGCGTTTGGGGCCCGCCTAGTTGCCCACTGCCCTTGGCCTGGGGATACCCAGGACATTTTGGGGTCCAGGCACATTTTGGGAGTCGAGCTGGGGCCCTACAAATGGAGACCAACCTGGCTTTTTCCAGGCTCAGGCAAATCATCCTAACCAGGCCGGGGAATGGGCAGCACGGATCCAGTGAAAATGCAGACCGTCCACACCTTACTTTTCAAGTCAACAACTCCGTCGGGTTTGTACCCAGACAGTGCGTCCCCGTCCCTCGGCATCCACGCGGGCGAGGGAAGGAGGCCGAGGTGGCTGGGGCTGCCCCCGGGATTCCGCGGAAGGGGAAGGCAGGGACGCGGGTCTCTCACCTCGGGCGGGTCGCTGAAGAGGCTGAGTCGGAAGCGGCCGCGTTTGAACTCCATCTCCAGGGCGGAGCCCCTGGCCACGGTGACCCGGCTCCGGTGGTTTCGGGAGAACATGTTGGCTGCCCTGCGACTTCGCCTGCGCAGTGCGCTCCCCGCGCCGCCCGGCTTAGTCTCCTCTCCGCGGCTTCTGTCTCTCGACGCTTGCCCGCCAGTCCGGCCGGGAATCTCCCGCTGCGGGGCTCCAAACCCCGCCCCCGGAGACGACACCTGGGCCGGGCAGGGCGCGGCAACCTCCTCTTCCACCCCCGCCAAAGGCCCAGCCCGTCCGGCCAGTCCCTGGGCGCCAAGCCGACCTGGCCCGACGGCCCCGGAGCCAGAGGCGCCCTGCACCTCGCGAGCACTGCGGAGGCGCGTTCTCCCTGCCCGCGCGGGTCGCGAGCGCTTACCTGGACTTGGGGCGGGCTGAGAAGCCCTGCCCCGCCAGCCGCCCCCGCCTGGCAAGCCTGGCTTCACGGGCGCTGAAAACCCCGTGGCCAAGGGATCGCCGCGTAGCACGTTCCGGCTCTACTCGGGCCCTGGGACCTTGCCCAGTTTCAATCCCGGCAGCCTCTGAAGAGACCATTTCAACATCCCACAGTCCCGAATATTCCTTCTTCGTCCCCCTCCCCACTTAGGCTCCTCTGCGAGGCTATCCGCCAAAGCCTAGTGGCCACAACTGATGAGGCGGTGCTTAAACACGTCGTGAAACCCCAGCTCTGCCACTGACTCACCTTGCAGTCATTGACTTGGTCCAGTCATTGGCCTTTCTGAGCTTCAGTTTTCTCATCTGTTCAGTGGGAATACTGTAATTATCACCTCTTCTCAAGTTGCTATGAGGATTACCTAGAAGAATGAGGGTAAAATGCCCAGCATAGTGCCTGGCACAAGGCAAGTGCCCCATATTTGCAGCCATAAAGAGCAGCCGGGCGCGGTGCAATCCCAGCACTTTGGGAGGCTTAGGAGGGTGGATCACAGGTTCGAGACCAGCCTGACCAAAATGGAGAAACCCCGTCTCTACTAAAAATACAAAATTTAGCCGGCCGTAGTGGCGCATGCCTGTAATCCCAGCTACTTGAGAGGCTGAGGCAGGAGAATTGCTTGAACCCGGGAAGCAGAGGTTGTGGTGAGCTGAGACTGTGCTACTGCACTCCAGTCTGGGAAACAAGAGCAAAACTACATCTCAAAAAAAAAAAAAAAAAAAAAAAAAAAGACTGGGCACAGTGGCTCAAGTCTGTAATTCTAGCACTTTGGGAGGCCAAGGGGGACTGATTACTTGAGCTCAGGAGTTGGAGACCAGCCTGGGCAACATGGTGAAATCCTGTCTCAACAAAACACACACACACAGACACACACACAAATTAGCCTGGCCTGGTGGTGGTGCATACCTGTAGTCCCAGCTACTCGGGAGGCTAAGGTGGGAGGATGGCTTGAGCCCAAAAGCTCAAGTCCAGCCTGGGCAACATAGTGGGACCCCATCTCTTTTTTTTTTTTTTTTTTTTGAGATGGAGTCTCGCTCTGTCGCCCAGGCTGGAGTGCAGTGCCCGGATCTCAGCTCACTGCAAGCTCCCCCTCCCGGGTTTACACCATTCTCCTGCCTCAGCCTCCCAAGTAGCTGGGACTACAGGTGCCCGCCACCTTGCCCGGCTAGTTTTTTGTATTTTTTTTTAGTAGAGACGGGGTTTCACTGTGTTAGCCAGGATGGTCTCGATCTCCTGACCTCGTGATCCGCCCGTCTCGGCCTCCCAAAGTGCTGGGATTACAGGCTTGAGCCACCGTGCCCAGCCAAGGACCCTATCTCTTAAAAAGCATTACAAATATATATTACTTTTTATTTTTTATTTTTTATTTTTTTGAGACAGAGTCTCGCTCTGTCACCCAGGCTGGAGTGCAATGGCATGATCTCGGCTCACTGCAACCTCTGCCTCCTGGGTTCAATCGATTCTCCTGCCTCAGCCTCCCGAGTAGCTGGGATTACAGGTGTCTGCCACC